TTTCTGTTTATGTTTGATAGATATTTTTGTTTCTGCAGGAATGTCAACTCTTAATTTCATGATGTATCATGGGCTTAAGAAAATTGAATTTAATAAAGGCAAAAGATGAATGGCACCTTTAAAGGTCCCAACACTTGTCTTTATTAGAAGGACAAACTGCAGGGTCTCCAAACACTGCTTCTCTCCAAATGAAAGTTTAAATGAAAAGTACAGCAGTGTCACAGGTTAAATTTCATTGCAGGACTGGCTAACGTCGTTAGTGAGGAGTGGGGCTGATTTCATGGGGCTGGTATCTGTTGCCTTAGATACCAATGGAGCAAACACTGCCAGAGACTGGAAAAATCTCCACTATAGGAAGCATGCAGATAAACAGCCTTTTGGGAAAGGTCCTTTACTACTTACTTCAAAAACTGACCACATAAGCCCAAAAGAGCAGCTGTGCTTTCTCCTAAGACACTTGGGTCGCTCCTGGGGTTCCGCTCCTGCCACGCGCTTCTCACAAACCTGCAGTGATTCTGGATATTGTTAAATTTTGCGCATTTTTTTAGTATGGCTTTTTATTTCCTTCGTCTGTCTTAATCTGACCCTCCTGGAAGTGCTTTTTGGTTTTGGTTCTGGAAGGCAAGTGACGCCTTTGTGTATCAGATCAGTGGCAGGGCTGTCTTTCAGTCTTGCTTTGCATCCAGCCACTTGATGGCCCCTGAGGATGTTTCTGGTCCCTTAGGATCCATCTTGGCATTGCAGTGCAGCCTTGCTGTGAAATCTAACCGGTGTGTGTCCCTCTCTGGAGGGGGAATGCTCGTCTTGCCCTGCTGTGGGCTTGCCCTGCTTCCAGTGTCACCCCCTGGGTGAGACGCAGACCTACAGGGAAACGGAAACAAGCCGCCCCAGCCTGGTTTGAATGATGGGGTCATGTTACCCTGGGGTTAAGCCTGGCTCTATTATGACGTCCCGTCCCCTGGCTTCAAACTTTGCAGTCTGTTTTCCTTCTGAACAGAAATTTGCTTTCAGAGCCTACCTGTGGTAGCTCTTTTGAAGGCAGGATCAGCTGTGTCCGGTGTTTCTTACTCAGATTTAATTTCTCGTGTTTCCGTGGGTGCTCCTGGGTGGCTGAAGCTGGAGAACTTGGCTGCACCACAACAAACCACCTGGGTGATGCTCAGGTGTTTTGCCTCTGTGTCCTCTTTCCCTTCCAGACTACAGGTCAAGTTTTGCCTCGTTCCTGGGGAAACTTGGTGACTTCCAGAGGGGCCATACAGCTGTGGGGAAGGATGTGCCCAACCCTTCCCTCTGCCTTAGCCTGCACAGCTTGCTCAGTGTGTGGCACGGCTGACCGTGGGGAGATGGTTAAGCCCTGTGTCCTCTGCAGCCTGACTACTCTGCATTTGCACCTGGGTACTTCAGCACTCTTAACACTTTATTTAACTTTTTTTTTTCTTAACTTTCTGTCTCAGCAGCACATGCTCCCCATGTTCCCTGGGCTGGGCTTTGTACCTGCTGCTCCAGGGAGCTGCTCTGCTGCGGCCACTGGCTCTTTCCACTGTGGAAACTGGGTGTTTCTCCTGGCTATTTAAATTATTTGTTGTTTCCATTTACCCACCCAGCTTCTTGCCCTCCTTCTGCCTGCTGGGGTGGTGATGTCAGCAGCTTTATGTATGTCCTCACAATAATTTCCTCCTGTGGGTCATGAGGGTTGCAGCCAGGGTCCAAAACCTGTGTTAGTTCCTCTGCAGCGGCTGCATTTTCCACATGCTAATTTTATTCACGGGAGTTGGATTTTTTTATTTTTTATTATTTCTTATTTGTCTCTTCCAGATGTTTTCAGGCAGTTTTTTTTGTTGCTAAACTAATTCCATTCATGTTTTAAAAATTTATGAAAGCGCTAATAAAAATGTCAAAGTGGTAAAAATGTTAGCTTTTGCTCTGCTTTGATTAAATTTTGCAAACTGTTTTTGAATATTAAAAAGCAATATTTTTTTTATTCTCTCTCCCTCTCTCTGTTTCTCTCCAGAAGTGATTTGAGAGGCTTGTTGCATGGATATCACTCAGCGGGCTCATTTGCACTCCAGAACCTTGGTGCCATGCATCTCTATTAAATAACATAGACAAATTATTCTTTAAAGACACCAAACAAATTGTCACTTCTCCTCTTACATTAAACTGGAAGGAGGAAAGGGAGTGGAGAAGGAGGGGGTGAACACAAAGGATTTTATCGCTTTTATTCAGTGGTCGGCTTTTTTAATTTCATGTATATTTTTTAATAATTGAGAAATCCATCGCAACTGGATTTGTTTAAACTTTTTATTAACAGGTCCATGTAAATTTTTGATTGCTGATTATTCAAATAATTGAACATTCTTCTGATGAAAGAATGTTTTTATTTTCCTATCAGCATCAATTGACTACAAAGAGGAGGATGAAGCAGGGCTTGCTACTGTGCCATATTCCATTGGGATGGATTTGGAGGGGGCTTCTAGCTCTTCTCCTCACTCTGTTGGAGGAGAGCAGTGCTCCTGGGCCTCTCCCAGGAAGGAGGTGCTTTGCTTCCTGCTGTAGCTCCTGTGTCTACCTGGTCTGTCCTCCAAAAGGATGGCAAGGTGGAGAAGATGGGATTGGTCTTTGGGAGGGCACAACCCCTGGGTTTTCATTACTAAACAGATGTGAACCCGTTGCCAGTACATGGCATACCCATGTATACATGACATACCCATGTCCCTGGGTAGTGTGTGTGAGTGGTGCTCGGCCATCTTCCTTAGGGTCAGCTTTGGTGATGATGCGTGCAGTTGCAGTGCTGAGCACAGAGACCTCCTTGCTGCCTGTCCTGGCTGCAATGAGCATCAGTTCTGTCCTTCTCTGTGCTCCTGCACCACTTTCCCACTTGTATTGCACAGCTTCGTGTTAGGCTTACGCTTATTTGTAACTGTCAGGCCCCTCTTTTTTACAGCCAACTTGGCAGGCAGGATCATTTCCAGCTTCATTTTTGTTTGTTTGAAATGAACAGCTGCTTTTCTTTTTGCCCTATTCAGGAAATCATCGAATTCCCTATCCTGAAGCTGAATGGCAGGACGATGGAGATCGAGTCCACCTTTCACATGTATGTTCAGCCTGTGGTGCATCCCCAGCTTACGCCCTTCTGTACAGAGGTAAAGTGCAAAGATTCCCTGGTGCTCCAAGACTCTCCCTGGGAAGCAGGTTTCCATTGCACCAGGGGTTGGGGTTGCCTCTTCATGGTGCGGCTGCAAGGCAGCATGTCATGCCAGCCTTGAGTAAAGGGCAAGGGGAATTATTTTTTGTCATTGCAGTACCATGTGAAGACCTCAGTTTGGATTCATAAATAACTCTATCATCTGCTGAGATAGCTGTATTTACAACTAACAAATGTCTAACTGGGTGACCACAAAATAAAATCAGTCATGTTAGCTGATGCTCAAAATCCTGTAGCCTCTCTGTGAGCTCTTCGTGATTTTGCTCTGCTGCTCTTTTGGAGGGGAAGGGCCAAAGAGAGCATGGTCTGAAGGAAGAAAGTGTTGTATGGCTGCATTGTTCAGAGGCCTGCCTGTTGGGATTTGATGAGCCCTTCAGAGTGGTAGGATAACCCATGTCTGTATTTTTAAGGCTTTCTTTTTGATGTCATGCTTGTTGGGGCACTTGAAATGATTGCTGGAGAAGTGGCCTCTTGTTACTTGGTTACTCTCATTGCTGAGGACAGCTGCTCTTGAGCTGTGGCCACCTTTCTCTGGATAGTGAGAAGAGGATGAAGGTAGTAAATATGATCCCTGAAGGTTCAAAAAAATAGGGGAGCAGGGTTTGTTTTTGTATTGGGTTGGGGTTTTTTTTTGGTTTGGTTTTGTGGGTTTGTTGTTTTTTTTTTTTCATTTAACACAAAAGGTAACTCTTTCTGTGTGTTCTTCCTCCCTGCTTAACCATCAAAACAAAGTTTTAAGTTCCTTTTGTTTTGGGTTTTTTTCCTGTTGCCCCACTGGTTCGATGTTGGTCAGTTGAGCAAGTAAAGTCCTGACTGTGGGAATCAGGGTATCCAAGTTCCTTTTTCTGTCCCAGTCTCATCTGGGATCATTGACACTGTGGTGTGTTTTCTCCAACCTCTGTGACTGCAGGTTTAAGCCCTTGAAGTGCTTGTCCCATGTGTACTAACTTGATGAAAAATGATTCCTCTGTGTTAGGTGGAGTCCCCTCCAGGACCAGCCAGCCCCTTCCATATTTCCACGTTGTAAAAACAAATACTTTTTTTTTATTCTCTTGTAACTAAAAACCATCTGAAGGTATTTTATTTAAATGTTAAAAAAAAAAAAAGGACTAAGCACAGAAAACATTATTCCCAGGAGAGTGGCTTTCAGAAAGCTATAAATGTGTGAAAACAGAGGGTTATAATGGAAACTGTTTTGCAACCTTAATGCTAGAAGGCTGGACAACTACTTTGGCTGTCCTTATCCCCATGAGGCTTGCTGGACATATGCTTGTACAAATGTGATAAATCTCACAGCTTGCACCTGATCTTTGCTAAAAGCAACGTCATCTTCTAGAGTAGAGCCCAAAATGTCTGTTTTGCATGTCATCTAAATTCTATAGAGAAGTCGTCTCACTCACTAACTCCCACCAAATTCCTTTTTCTGGAAATTGCTCTGTTGCATCCTTTCCCCCACTGCTAAAGGTTGCAGCTCTGTTCTTGCATGAGAGCCTGCATGACTTGCTTGGTGTGGCTGTCCAAACTGAACGGAGCCTCCAGCCTGCTGCAGCCTGAGGACATTGAGAGATTCCCTGGATTCCAAGCTTGTGACTGAGACATTCAGCCCATCTAATGCTCCTGCACTGTGGTGCTTGCTCATGGGAGCCTAGAGCAGCTATTTGTCTCTCCAGGTTTGTGTCTCCTGTGTGGAGCCATCGAGGAAGCAAAGCTCTGTGTGTGTGTTGCGCATTTGTAGGAGTCTCCAGGATGGGCATGCATGTCCCAGCTGCAGCATTGTGCTGCAGACTCTGCTGCTGACCTCATTCTGATGTCTTGTGTTCAGAGTTGGATAAAAATGGGCAATGCTGAGGCCAGCAGGCAAAATGATTGCAGAACCCCCACCTCTGTCTATCAGTGGCATGAAATGGTCCAGCTTGCCAGGTTTGGCAAGTTCTCTGTTATTAACAGCCTGGAAACCACTGGCTCCTGGACAACCCCCCCCACTGTGTGCATGCTGCTTGGTGCACGGCATCGCCCCTGTGCCTCCTGGCCTGGCAGTCCCCTTGCCTGTCCAGGGGCTGACACGAGGTCCAGGGAGTGTGATTGTGCTGGAGGGGTAACTGGGCTTGTCCATGGGCACTATCTCTGGAGCTGACTTTGAAACCCTGCCCTAAGAGCAAGCTGGTCATACTGTGGACCTTACTAAACAGTTGCAAAAATACCCTTTTGCATTTGCAGCCACTTTTTAGTGGAGGCTGTAGTGGCCATGTAAAGACCTTTGGGGTGGGTGGCTCCTCCTAGGCAGGCACAGGGGTCAGCCTGCCTGAGTGTGGGTTCCCCTGAGACCACCCGGGACACAGTTGGGATGTGCTGTGTGTCCAGCTCCTGTGGAGCCACTGCCTACACAGTTCCAGTGCTTGCCATTGACTTTCAGCTGTTTTATGTTTTCTGAAAAATACCCATTTTGCTAAATGCCAGTAAAGGGCTTTGTCTAGGCACCTCTACTTACAAAGGGTGAGATTTATTGGCCTCTTTGTCTACAAAGAAAGACCAGGCTTGATTATCAGATTGTACACCAGAGACAAGTGCTTAGGTAATCAGCAAACTGTCGTGGAGTAGAAATACGATGGTTTCCCAGATAAACTCTGTAGGAAAAGCAGTGGTGTTGACATTACATGGGAGCCTGTCTGCTGTGCTGCTGCTTTCCCCTCTCCCCTCCGCTGGCTGCTTTTGCCATGAAGCAGTAGGACTGCTTGGTATAGATTGTGTGTGGGAGGATTACTGGGCTTGCTTGACATTACTCCTTGGGTCTGGTGTACCTCTTGCATCCCTCTTCCTTCTTGAAGACGACAGCACAGCACAGGAAAGGAGTCTGCAAGGGTGGAGAGATCATGGTCACCCTCAAGGCATTCCTTTGCTTAGCTTTCCATCTGTCTGTGCCCTCCCCTGGCTACAGCAGGTTCCTTTGACTCCCCACACTAATGGCCAGGAGCACACCTTCCCAGTGCTGGCTCACTCAGTAGCCTTCATCTGGTCCCCTTTCTCTTGACCTTGTGTAAAACAACAGGTTGTGAGGCTTGGTTATGATGAGGGGTGTGCTGGACATAGAGACAGAGAAGGTGGAAAGTGCTTGCAAATGGTTAAAAGCTGCTGTTAGTTATATAAAGCTCATCATGCTCTTTTGGAAGATGGAAGTGGTTTGTCTGATGCCCGAGAAGGTTCATGACAGGAGCTTAAGTGAAAGGTTCCCTCTACACAGAAGGTGCTTGTACAGGCTTTTTCAAGGTACTTCGCTCTCTTTTTATGATTAATTTTTATTGATTTTTTTCCTGAAGGAACAGACAATAAAAGTACAAAAAGATAAATGCCTTATAGCTTGTTTATGTTCCCAAGTACCATGTGCTTCTTGGGATAACCAGTGAAACTTTACAATTGTGCAGTTTTATTTTTTTATACTTTATCAAAGCTGCAGGACCAGGTAATGTTGCAGAGACCCAGTGCGCTAGGTTGGGTGTTACATATGGATGTAACTGATAATGGAAAGGATCAGAAGGGATGAGAGAGTAAAAATCTGGTCCCTTTTGAGCACTCTCTGACCTGTATTGAAATGCTACCTGTGGAGCAGGTATATCCCTTTGTATTCATGTGTGTGATTCTGTAGCATGATTCTTGCATACATGTGTGCTTGGCAATGTATTCTGGTATGTGTAAGTTGGTACTTTGCTTGGCCTAGCAAAGCAGGAGGGAAGGAATCTTGGGCAAGATCAAGCAGTGACTCTTTGGTGGGTCCTCTGTGTCTGTTTTCCCACCCCTCCCTCCTGATGGGAAATGCCTGGATGAGGTCATTTCACCCTGCCCTCCCATGGCCATCAGCAATGCAGTGCTGTACAAATGCAGTCCTGCAGGTGTCTGGAGTGGTAGAAGCTGTTTCCATCAGTGCTGGCTGTGATACCAAATGGTTGCCTGTCATCCTTCGTACAGAAAAGACATGGACCTGTTGGAATGGGTCCAGAGGAGGGCCACAAAAAAAGGATCAGAGGGCTGGAGCACCTCTCCTTTGAGGACAGGCTGAGAGAGCTGGGGTTGTTCAACCTGGAGAAGAGAAGGCTCCAGGGAGACCTTACTTCAGCCTTTCAGTACTTAAAGGGGGCTTATAAGAAAGATGGGGATAGACTTTTTATTAGGGTCTGTTGCGACAGGACAAGGGATAGCGATCTTAAACTAAAAGAGATTAGATTGAGACTATATGTAAGGAAGAAATTTTTTATGATGAGGGTGGTGAAACACTGGAACAGGTTGCCCAGAGAGGTGGTAGATGCCCCATCCCTGGAAACATTCAAGGTCAGGTTGGAAGGGGCTCTGAGCAACTTGATCTAGTTGAAGATGTCCCTGCTCATTACAGAATCACAGAATCATCTAGGTTGGAAAGGACCCTGGAGATCTAGTCCAACCATTCGCCGAGCACAGTTCTCACCTACAGCATATCATTAAGCTCTAAATCGACCCTTCTCTTGAACACCTCCAGGGATGGGGACTCCACCACCTCCCTGGGCAGCCCATTCCAATGCCCAAAAACCCGTTCTGGAAAGAAATGCTTCCTAATATCTAATCTGAACTTTCCCTGGCGCAACTTGAGGCC